TGGAAAAAGTGCAGTCAGAGTGCTCCTTAGAGGCCAAGTTGGCCAAACTTCGTCTCTCATACTTTGGACATATTATCAGGAGGGATCAGTTGCTGAAGAAGGATATTATGTTTGGTAGGGTGGAGGTTCAGAGAAAAGGAGGAAGTCCTCCAGCAAGATGAATTGGCAAAGTGGCAGCATCAATGGACTCAAGAGTGGGAAACGATAGTGAGGTTGGCCCAGGATCGGGCAATGTTTCATTCTGCTGTGCATATGGTCGCTATGAGTCGGTACCAACTCAATGGCACCTAACAACAACTATATATATATATATAGTGCTGTCAAGTTGGTTCTGACCCGTACTGACCGTATACAGGGTTTCTGAGGAGTAGCTGATCAGCTTAAACCACCAATCTTGCAGTTCCAATGACTTTGCATTTCAGTGCATTAACCTGCAGTGCCACATCAGTACTCCATACATACGTGTGTGTGTGTGTGTGTACTATCTATGCTCCCAAGGAAAAAGCCTGAAAATACATAAGTCAGACTCTAATAGAACTGAAGAAAAAATAGACAATCCCACAATAATATTGTTCTTGTTGTTGTTAAGTGCCGTAGAGTCAGTTCTGACTCAGTGACCCTTTATAGTTTCTGAGGAGCAGATGATGGGTTTGAACCACAAACCTCACTATCAGTGGTCCAATGCTTATTCTACAGCTCTACATCAAGACTCTAAATAACAGTTATTGTTAAGTACTGTTGAGTCAGTTCTGATTCACAGGGACCCTGTATAGAGTTCCCAGGGAGCAGCTGGTGGGTTTGAACTGCTGACCTTGTGATTCACTGTCCAGTGCTGATCTTACAGTGCTACACCTGGAGTCTAAAATATACGAGATTTTAATACACTACTTTTGTTGAAGGACAAAACAACTAGAAAGAAACTCAACAAACATAAAGTGGAATTAAAGAACACAATCAACTAACTTGACCTCACAGACATGTACGGAGCACTCAGCCCAACAACAGCTCATCCTCCAGTGCTCATGGAACATTCTCCAGAATAGACCATGTGTTAGGCCACAAAGCAAACCTCACTAAATTTAAAAACATCAAAATACTACAAAGCATCTTCTCAGCTCATAATGCTATAAAATGAGAAATCAACAACCGGCAGATCTAAGGGGGAAAAAATTAAATAAATGGAAATTGAATAACACCATGCTTAAAAGCTACCAGGTAATAGAACAAACAAAAAATGAAATTTAAAAATTCTTTGAATCAAACAAGAATGAAAACACTAGGGACACAGCAAAAACAGTTCTTAGAGAAAAATGTATAGCAATAAATGCACACATCCAAAAAGAACCAAAATCAATACCTAAACTCAACATTTTCAACAAGTAGAACATGAACCGCAAAGTAAGCCTGCAGTCACCAGAAGAAAAGAAAGAATAAAGGTTAGAGCAGAAATAAATGAAACAGAAAACAGAAAAAAATTTAGAATCACCAAGACAAGAAGTCGGCTCTTTGAAAGACTTAATAAAATCATCAAACCACTGGCAAATATAACACGACGCTGTACAGGGTTTTCAAGGAACGGCTGGTGAGTTTGAACCACTGACCTTGTGTTTCGAACCGACCTTGCGGTCCAGTGCTTTATCCCACAGCACTATACCAGGACTTCGTTAAGTACCAGGCCTTGGCAACTGACATGGAAACAGGGACATAGATAAATCTGCAGATAATTTTGGGTGATGACTTATTTCCTACTAAATAAGATACATAGTGCAGGGGGGAATATATAACGATGGCTAAATTATTAGTTGTGAAAGATGACCAGGAAACCATTCTGTATATAGGAAAGGATTGCTGATGCCAGACACCAAGTGAGAAGTGGTTTCTCACTTGTTTAAGAGATGCAAAAGCAAAAGCACATTTTTATATACATGTTAGTTCTTCTCAGTCCATGGTACTGTCTATGTTGTTCTTCAACATCACAATTCAAATGTATTGATTCTTCTAAGGTCTTCATTACTCACTGTACAACTTTCACATGTATATGAAGCAATTAAAAATACCATGGCTTGGGTCTCGGGCACCACAGTCCTTAAAGTGACATCTTTGCATTTTGATACTTTAAAGAGGTCTTGTGTAGCAGATTTGCCTAATGCAATTCATTTAATTTGACTGCTGCTTCCATCAGCAATGATTGTAGACCCAAGTAAAATGAAATTTTTGACGTCTATCTTTACTCCATTTATGCTATTTATTGGGCCAGTTGTGAGAATTTTAATTTTCTTTACACTGAGGTGTAATGCATACTGAAGGCTGCAGTCTTTAATCTTCATAAGTAAGTGCTTCAAGTCGTCCTCCACTTCTAGCAAACAAGGTTTGTGTCATCTGCATATCTCAGGTTGTTAATGAGTCTTCCTCCTATACTGATGTCACATTCTTCTTAATGTAATTCAGCTTCTTTGATTATTTCATTGAGTAAGTATGGTGCAAGGATACAATCCTGATGAATACCTTTCCTGATTTTAAACCATTCAGTATCCCCTGTTTTGTTCACACAAATGCCTCTTAAGTTTATGTATTGGTTCCTAATGAACACAATTAAGTGTTCTGGGATTCCCACTGTTAGCAATGTTATGTATAATTTGTAAATGTCTTTGCATAGTCAATAAAGCACAAGTAAACATCTTTCTGGTATTCTATGCTTTCAGCCAAGATTGCTTTCAGCAATGATATCCCTTGTTCAAGAACGTGACTTGAATTTCTCAGATTCATAAAAGGAAGCAGAAAGAGAGATATACAATAGTACTTATATAAAGTTGACTAAATAATGTTTCCTCCCTTACATTTACAAAAATGAAATTTTGAGTGCCATGAGGGAAAAGGTGTCTGGTGTGGCACTGCAGGATAAGCACTGGACTGCTAACCACAAGGTTAGAGGTTCAAATCTACCAGCTGCTTCTTGGAAACCTTATATAGGGTCACTATGAGTTGAAATCAAATTGACAGCACTTAACAAGGGAGGGGAAAAAAAGAGATGGTGTTCAAAATGTGTTTAGAGAGAAGTACTTAGCCCAAGGTGCTAATTTATGTTCTCACATGAATAATTCAGGAAATAGTAGCACGCAGGTGATTTGAGAATCACTGTATAAGAAGACTAAAAGTGTCGCATAATAATATGGCAGTTGTGAAATCTTATATGCTACTTGCTGTAAATATTTAGTATGAATTTACTGATCTAAAGGAGTTTGAACTTGGTGGGTACAGCCTTGATCCACAGTGTGTACATAAAGGAAGAAGGTGAAAGATTCGTGTCTGTAGCTTTAGGGGCACTTGATTAAAACAAAGAGATATAAAAAGTGAGAACCAAGTTGCTGAGCATCACAGAATTTATATCACACTTTATTACACCTGAGTGTCAAAGAATTATATGCAAACACAAATGACTTCAGTACAAAATTCCTCCAAAACCTAGACAGCATCAGACCATCAGGTCTCTGAAGGCAATCTCGCTGATACATTTCCTAAAGGTTTATTAGCAACCATGTGCAAGGCACACTGTGGGCTCTGCTATAAGACTTCATGAAACTAACTTTTGGAGGATGCATTATATAGGTGTGATTAAATGGTCAGAGTAGCATACTTACAGCCATCCACCCAGGAGATGGTAACTCAGAACTGGCTAAGAGTATAAGCACTGGGCTGCAAACCATAAGGTCAGCAGTTTGAGTTCACCAGCAGCTCCAAGGGAGAAAGATGAGGTTTTCTGCTTCCACAAAAGATTCAAAGCCTCGGCAATCCTATATAGGATCACTATGACAAGAGTTAGTCATAGTGATCACGGCACATAACAAGAGTTAGTAGCCAGTCTGGAAGCCCATTTAAGGTCAATGGATTAAAAGAAATAATTTTAGGTCCTGCATCTTCCAAGTAACATCCACACAGGCCTGTATCAAATAAGCCCATACCCCACCCCATCCCCTTCTAGAATACAGAAGATAATTCATCTCAAGCAGACTCTATATTCTCTAACACCTGATGATGTTCAATGGTAAATAAAGCCCCAGCCTACACTTTCTGAAGTTATAAGGAGCTCCAGGGTGGCTTCAATACAGTGAGAAATGAGCACTACCTTTGGCACATACCCTATGGATCACTGGGACAGAATTCTTTTCCTAACATGGCTTCTCTGATGTAGAACGAGGTATGAAGTTTGGGTGAAGCCTCTTCCACATGCATCACACTGATAGGGCTTCTCACCAGTGTGGATTTTTTGATGTTCAATAAGGCTTCTACTTCGAGTGAAACTTTTGTCACACTCGTTACATTTATAAGATACAGGAACCTCAGCATTTTCCCATTGGTTTTCCATTCTACCCTGGCCTTCCCAGTTCTCCCCACGTTCAGAATCCTGAATATTTTTGTCCTCACCATGGATCCTCTGATGTCTCATGAGATGCGAACTTCGCCTGAAGGCTTTTCCACACATGCTGCACTGGTAGGGTTTCTCCCCAGTGTGGATTCTGTGATGTTCAAGGAGGCTGCAGCTCTGACTGAAGGTTTTCCCACAGTCGTCACACTCATAGGGCTTCTCCCCCGTGTGGATTCTCTGGTGTCTGATAAGATCTGAGCTATGACGGAAAGCCTTGCCACATTCTTCACACTCATAGGGCTTCTCACCAGTGTGGACTCGCTGATGAATGACGAGGGCAGAGCTCCCATTGAAGGCCTTGCCACACTGCTCACATTCAAAGGGCTTCTCCCCAGTGTGAATTCTCTTGTGCTTACTCAGGCCTGAACTCTGAGTAAAACTTTTCCCACATTCCTGACAATAGTACCGCCTCTTCCCTATGATATTTTTCTGGTTTCTGTGTACCTTGCTCTCCTGTTCACCAGCTTCTGCACAAGGTGGAATCTGGGCAATGTCTTCACCCATGTGGCATGGGCTCTCCCCAGGATCTTGTACTAGATGCTCCTCATTAGGATGCAAGTTGCTGGACTTAGTCTGTATTTCACCACCTGAAACAACAAATGGCTGATGATTGTGAATTATGCCCTGGCATGGGAAGAAAAAACTGTAATGAGTAACAGGGAGGCAAGACTTATAGTAGTGTGTAAGTCAGGTATATGAGCACTTGAGTGCAAGTCAATGATGAGGATGATCATCACCCTCAGGTCTCTTGTGGCCCAATTTTCAATCTAGCAGTAATAGGTTTATGGGGGGGTGGGGGTGGGTTGACAGGGAGAAAGGTGACAACAACACTAGTAAGATATGCTCACCATGGAATGGTTGGTCAATCATTCAAAATCAACATTTTCCAAAGGGCAAAGTTGAGAAGGAATAGGAAGGTGGGTAGAATGCAAACAGGAATCACAGGGAGAGAATAACTTGTTGCATGGAGGGGATTGCAATCATCAAGATGAAACAAAGTGTATGATTTGTTGAATGTAAAGCGGATGATCTTGTCTGTAAGCCTTCACTCAAGTCACAATAAAAAGTTAAAAAAAAAAAAGAATGATGGTCGTAAAGGAAAAAACAGGAGTCTGGGGAGGAGGGAGACCTGAGACTAGAAGCAGCCAACCAGAAGAAGAATACTAACTAGGAGTGAAGGTCGTGGAAGGGGGTTGATGAGGATGGAGGACTGTATCAGGAACACACATGGAGGCTCGCTCTTCATTCTAAAAAGGCTAAGGCAGAGCCATGCCCCTAGGATTAGATACTAAAAGGGCAAGTGGAGATCACAGAGAGCAGAGCAAGTGAAAAGGTTACTGAAGTACTCTGTAAGAAACGGAAAATGGGGACTCAAATTAGTCACTGAACAATGAAAAGACAGACACTTCTGACTTTGGCCCAGAAAAAGATAGGATCTGCAAAATAGAAGTGGCTTCAATGCTGGGAGAGCTGAGTCGGAGCCCCTGCTGTGCTGACAATGAGCTGTGTGAACTCAGACAAGTCACCTAACCTCCGTTCTCCACATCCTCAGCTCTAAGGTCGCTCGGGCTCTCCCACTCTATAGTCTCAAGGCCCAGTTCTTTTTTTTTTTTTCACTTTTCTTATTGTGAATTGAATGAAGGTTACAGAGCAAATCTATAGGATAGAGTAGAGCTGCACTATAGGGTTTCTGAGACTGGAAATCTTTATGGGAGCAGACAGCCTCATCTTTGTCCTGCAGAGCAGCTGGTAGGTTTGAACCGCTGACCACGTGATCAGCAGCCCAATACTTAATTCACAGCACCACCAAGCTTCCTCAGAGAACTGCCAGGGCAGAGTGAAAAACAAGGTCAGAAGGGTTAAGGAACTAGTCACACAAATGGTGTATAGCTGAGCTTCAGAAATGTTAGTTCTGAATCTAAGCATAATGGGTCTCCAAAGCTTCTAACAGCCCACTAGGTTCTAACACACTAAGAAAACCAAGAAATCTTAAGAGAAAAGAGTGGCCATCATCTTACCCAAGGAGATGAGGTTGCCACAGTTCTCTTGTCTCTCTTCTCTGCAGAGGTTCGCTTGAGATGAGTCCAGCTGTACCAACTCAGGGGAGAGGGTCAAAGCCATATCTTCCTCTTTCAGCAGCCCCTGAAACAACAGTCAGTCCCACATTGGTCCTTTGCCCAAAGTCATTCCCAAGGCCAGGCATTGTAGTGTGGAACAAATGCAAACAATGAACACCCCGCTTAAAGGGCCATTATAAAAGAGAACAAATGAGGCCGGACCTACATCTATTTAATTTAACCTTATATTTAGTAATGTTTTTAATTAAAAAACAAACAAACACATTAAATAGATTAGGATCAGTATTTTCTATTTTCACATGACTATCTAGACAACATTCCAGATTGTGAAAATATTTGGAAAATAAAGTCCAACTGAGTAAAAAGTATAGACCAGCTCCCAAAATTCTAAAATATTTATGTTGTGCCTTTCTTGGCACAGTAGGGTGCGACTTATTTACATTAAAGATCTTTTAAATACAATGAAATGAAAGTCTGACATGGGGAAAAAATATACAATTACAAGGCCTTAACACTGATATCTTTCAGAAAGACATAAAAGTCAGGTAAGAAAAGATTTTTCAGATAGTACTTACTAAAACTAATTTTAAACTAAAAACAACAGTCCTTATGGGTCTCTTCAAGTATGTGCTCCTTGAGAGTAAACTCCATTAATGGGACATTTTTTTAACACTTTAAAAACAAAACAAAACAGTTTTTTTTTAATGTAAGGAACTAAACAAAACCAGCATCACATAAAAATCCTCAGTTAACATTCACTGAACTGCCATTGATTGAAGGAGAAAATCGCACCAATGAAGGGGTTGACCAGACAGACAAGGTAAAGATCTGAGAAGCACAGGCAGGCCTCCAAGCTAGAAGTAAAATAGGAAACACTTCTTGTATGGGCACCAAAATGTTGACAAACAGTGCTAAGTAGTCTTGGGATAGATGGGAAAACTCAAATTCCAGAACATTCTATGCAGTGAAGAGAATGACTTATTATGGCCCATTTGGTCATTCATGATTTTATAATGATTGATAATATGCAAAGAGGGTATATAGAACTCTAATTAGGGAACTAGTCAATTTGGCATGTTGCTAAGCTTAAAAAGAAAGTTAACTCCAAGCAGAAGAACTCACTCTACCACCAAGAAAGAAGAACCAGGAGTGGAATGCATCCTCTGGACCAGGGATCCCTGCACTGAGAATCTCCTAAACCCAGGAGACAGAGAGCTGCAACAATGGAGATTGCACAAGACAGCAAGAAGCGGCAGCAAAGAAACAGGAGACTGGCACTAGACAGAATGTGGGTTTCTTGCCCATCAAGCAAAGTGCCTACAGTAGTTGGTGTGTCAACCCATCAAGCAAGAAAGCTGGGCATCTTCAGGTAAGAGGTGTTCAGCTGGAGTTGTAGGCCTCTGGGCATTTGGCAGAACTAGGCTGACCCACACAACAAAGCAAGAGAGAGCTGAGCACCATCAGGCGAAGGTTTACTGGTGAATCTAGCTTTGTAACACTTCCCCGAGCAGGGTAGAGGTCAGGCCCTAATGGGGTCCAGGGCTGAGGGCCTATCCTCTGGGGGTCAAGAGGAGCCTATTCTTGGGGCTAAGAAAGCCCTGCACTGCTGAAAGGAGCAGAGAGAGCTGTTCTGCACTGAGGAAGGGAGATTTTGCTTCATGCTTCCTGAACCTGATCCCCAGTTGTGCCTATTAATCCTGATTCCAAGGTGCACCCTGTTACTCCACCAGTAAACCCCATCACTCTGAGTATGGTCTGTGAATTCTGTGCGGTCATTACAGCGAATTATTTGAACTCAGCTGAAAAGTAAAGAGTGCCATGGGAGGGATGGCTGGTGTTGGGGTTGCTAAAAAGGTTGGAGAAAGGAGATATGTCTGACTTTCACCGCATAGGAGTCAGCCTTGGGCTGATGCAGACATTCCTGTACCATTTTCATAATCTAGGATTGGGGTGGAGGGAGACTAGGGAGGGAAAGCCCTTTGTGAGAAACCCAACAGTAGTAAAAATGTTGAGGGAGATAGGGAGAGCTTCAGCTCACCTGGGACTCTGGGATGAGCCTGGCATCTCCTCTGCAACCTGCTTCCTGGGCAATACCAGGCACCTGGAGAACTAAGAAGGAAAGAAGCTCTGGATGAGATCTACCCTGACATTCAGTCTCCCTACCTTAAGGAATCCAAGTTCCAAACTGGGTCAATAGATTCCTCCCATACACATTTATACAAAGGATGATCCTTTCCCAAAGGCCCGGTCCCTACCAGCTTCAATCGTAGGGTCTGAAGAGAGCTGGTACGCTCCTGCAGAGACACAAACCACAAAAAACTCCTAGTAGGAATGGGGAAATGAACGCAACATAAGAAATACAATGCTTTCCATTTGAAGATCCTTCAGTCTTATATTTTGCTACAATAGGGGTCCTGCATGGAACAAATGGTTAAGTGCTTGACTACTAGCCAAAAGTTAGGTGGTTCAAGCCCACCCAGAGGTACCTTGGAAGACAGGTTTGGTGACTTACTTCAGAAAGGTCACAACCTCAAAAGTCTTGTGTAGCAATTCTGCTCTCACACAATCATAGTCACCGCTGTTGGAATCAATTCAAGAGCAACTAACAGCAACAACAAGGGGATAAAACAGGCACAGGACTTGTACCTACAATGTCTTTAATAGCTATCACTGTGCTTTTTAAGGAGCCCTGGTAGCTCGAGAGCTAAGCACTGGGCTGTCGACTTAAGGCTGGCAGTTCGAACCAATCAGCTGCTTCACAGGAGAAACGGCCCAGTGACCCACTCCCATTAAGATTACAAGCTTTAGAAACGCTTAAGGGGCAATTCTACTCTGTCCTACAGGGTCACTAGGAGCCTTAATTGACTGGAGGGCACACAACAACTGGTGCTTTCTTGGAGCCTCTGGATAACACAATTGAGTAAGCACTGAGCTACTAACAGAAAGGCTGGTGGTTCAAATTCAACCAGAAACATCTCAAAAGGAAGACCTGGCCATCTGCTTTCAAAAGGTCAGTCCTGAAAATCCTGCAGAGTGCAGCTGTACTACACAAAACATGAAATGGATCAACTCAAAGGAGACTGGTTCCATGTTGGTTAGGGTGCATTCTGCTTTGGTTCTGAAAAACTAAGAGGAGTCGAACAGGGTTGGGCCCAGTAAAAAGGAAATAGGACTCTGTTTATATAGAATCTTCTCAGATTCCAGAGAAAAATATAAATAACCTGTTTTTTCCCCATAGAAGGCAAACTTTGCAAAGGGAAGCAAACAAGTTGGTTTGGGATAGAAACTCTGCTGAGAAAGAATGCATGTTTGCTGACTTGGCCCAGTGCTATACATGTTGTGCAGGGAATATGGGAGGACACCTCAGAGCACCCAGTTATTTCTTATACAGTGATTTTTATACTGTTCTAATAACAGACCGATGATTTAGGAGATGCAGTATTATTCTGGCCAGCTTTCCAGATTGTGCCTTATTTTCTTCATCGCATCTACCACGATCCAAAATAGTACTGTTAATTTGTTATTTACTATCTCCCCTATAAATGTAAGCTCCATTGGAACAAGGGATCTGTGTCACTGATGGCTTTATCCCGGTGCCAACAAGAATGGAATCATCAGGGAAATGGGGAGGGAGTGTGCAAACGGTAGCCTCTGATACTGTCAGGGGGTGGCATCAAAAATGACCCCTAGGGGTGGCAGTGGCATTGGGGGGAGGGAGGTATCATCTTCAGAGTTGGTGTCACCCATTGCAATAACTCATCAGCACCACCACACCAGCCCCAGTCCCCATCACCTGCCAGACAGGCTGTGGGTGGCTGGGACACAGTGCTAGCCACTGGATGGAGAAGGGGCTCTGCCTTGGTCCATGGGGGAGGAGAGAAGCAATGGGAACCTGAATAGCTCTCAGCCCAAAGAGGGGGCAGGACAGGGCTAGCTGCTCTGCCCACAAAGGAGGTGACACACTGGGTGACACCAATCCTAGTGATGCCACTCATCAGCAACAATGGCTACCACATAGGAAACCTCCATAAACATGAATGGAGACCACACTGTATTCTTAACAAAATCAATTTTTCCAAACTCCAATTTTAGTAAAACCTTATTTAGAATATCCAGGTTTGGTTAGGAAGGCTTTCCATCCCGGTTGAAATTGTCCTTTTAGTTTTACTCTCAAAAAAAAAAAAGTTTATCTGTAACAGGTATATAAAATAACTGTCAGTGGATGTGACTTTAGGTGATCCTTCCATGAAACTAAATAAAATTTGTAGATTATCCAGAAGAGATTCCTTACCTCTGTCTTCTGAGAGTTGGGACCCCAAAGATTCATGCTTGAGCAGAGCCTTCATTGGATGGAACTGGCTGCTTTGTGAGCCCCTGGCTCCTGTCAACAGTGCCATCTTACAACAGAGCAGTTCTTGCCCCCAGTCACCATCTGGGACCTATAAGTCATTAATTTATTTTTATTTTCATTTACTCATCAAATACTTCTATATGCCTAGCACTGTTTCTCAGAGCTTTACAAATATGAATTCATCTAACATAGACAATAACCCTGTGAGGTTAGGAATTGTTATCACCTCCATTATACTGATAAGGAAACTGAGGCACAGAGCTTAAGAGGCGTGTCCAAATTCAGCCAAATAGTTAGTGGCAGTGCTAGGTTTGAGCTAAGTCAAATGACTCTACAGCCCACACTGTCCTCAATTATTCTATGCTCCATTATTATATACATTTGTGCTTTAATGAAAACCACATAACAACACTCATTTATATGACAGTGCTAACTACAGATCGAAACGTCTACCTTACAGGGCTTGGGGGAGCAGTATATAAGAACACAGGGTCTTGCATATGAGGGTGGTGGTAGTGTGCCATGGTGTCGGTTCTGACTCATAGCACCCCCTTATAGGGTTTCCGAGGCTGTAAATCTTTACGGGAGCAGAAAGCCTCATCTTTTTCCCGCAGAACTGCTGACAGTTTCGAACTAGCTGACCTTGAGGTTAGCAGCCCGACTCGTAACTACTACACTCCCAGAGCTCCTTCTTTCATATGGTATATTCTCATTAAATGAATACTTCCTTGCAGACATTTATAATTAAGCCATAATTTCTGAGTCACATTCATGATCAGTAGCTTATGTGTAGCTCAGAACTTCTAAAGCATGATTAGGAGCCCAAGCTTCAAAGACTTGAAGTGATTTTTCACTGTTACACAGCTCAGGAATCTAGGATACCTGGTCACTGATCAGAAGGTCTTTCTCAGGTCACATCTCCTAAAGAAACCCACACAAGGACACAGGAAATGCAAAGTAAGAAAAGTCATATATAACAGACAGGACGATGCAAGCTAAATGAACATTTCTATTAGGGGCTCTTAACCAGTGGTCCATGTACTCCTTCCTAGCCAATCATGATGTGGAAAGAAAAAACTGTATTTTTCAATTTACTAACCTCTTAAGTGATGGCAGTTCAAACTCAGCAGCTGCTCCTTGAAAACCCTGTAAAGGGTTGCTATGAGTCGGAACTGACTCGACAGCACTTAACAACAGGAAGTGATATTTGGATATTTGGAGTCATGGTGTGGCATTGTAGGATAAGCACTCATCCACAAGGTTGGTTTGAACCTCACGTCGGCAGTTCAAACTCACCAACTGCTCCTTGGAAACCCTATAAAAGGTCGCTATGAGTTGATAAGGAGCTCTGATAGCCTACTAGTTAAGACTCGGGCTGCGAACCTCAAGGTCAGGAGTTCAGATCCAGCTGTTCTGCAGGAGAAAGATGAGGCTTTCTGCTCCCATAAAGATTTATAGCCTGGGAAACCCCGTTCAGGGTCGCTAAGAGCCAGAACCGACTGCACGGCACCACCATGAATTGATAATGAGTTGACGGCACTTAACAATAAGAGATATTTGTGGAGTACGGTGGCTCCAAACAATAAGACTGGACTGCAAATCACAGGTCAGCAGTTCAAGCCCATCAACCACTCCAAAAGAGAAAGATGGGGGGGGGGGGGGGGTCAGCCCATGGGCCATATTGTCACTGTTGCTAAGGGCCGTTGATTCGGTTCTGACCCACAGTGAACCTGTATAGGGTTTCCAAGGAGGGGCTGGTGAGCTTGAACTACCAACCTTGAGGTTCAAACAATTTTGCAGTCTAGCACATTAACCTAAAACACCATACCAGATCTGCCATGGGCTGTAAAAAGGCCTGTGAAATCATTTGATCTGGCAACTGCAGTTCCAGCCATCACATTGTTGTTGTTGTTGTTGTTGTTGTTAAGTGCCGTCGAGTCAATTCCAACCTATAGAGACCCTGTATAGGGTATCCAAGGAGCAGCTGGTGAGCTTGAACTGCCAACCTTGCAGTTCAAACAGCTTTGCAGTCTGGCGCATTAACCCACAGCGCCACACCACGACTCCTGTCATCACACTGTTGTTGTTATGTGCCGTGGAGTCGGTTCCGACTCATAGTGACTCTGTACAGGGTTTCTGAGGCTGTAAATCTTTATGGGAGCAGAAAGCCTCATCTTTCTCCCGCGGAACATTGGTAGTTTCGAACTGCTGACCTTGCAGTTCACAGCCAGATTCGTAAACACTATGCTACCAGAGCCATCACATTAGGGATGAATTAATTAAATGTTTGATCAAATATAACAGGCTGATTTAAAAATTTATAATTTTGTATGAACCACAACTGAAGTTAAAAATTTTGGCAGAAAAAAGGTTCCCCACCCCTGATTTAAAGTCTTGGGAGCCCTATACAGGGTTGCTATGATTTGGAACTGATTTGATGGCACTTAACAACAACAAGACATTTGAGGGCTGGTGTGGCCCTGTGGGTTAATGTGCTGGACTGCAAAGTTATTTTTAACTGCAAGATTGGTGGTTCAAGTTCACCAGTTGCTTCTTGGAAACCCTATACTAGGGTGCAAACGGACTTGATGGCACTTAACAACAACAACAACATGGCACTGTAGGATAAGCACTGGACTGGTAGTTGAAACCCACCAGCGGCTCTCAGGTACCCTACACAGAATTGCTGAGTCAAACTGACTTAACAGTACCCAATAAACAACAACAAAGTGAAATTTAGCATTGCCTTAAATCATGGACACAAGCAACAAACCAAGGTGGTATGAACTGTACCTGTGACTGTCACCAGTAAAAATCACAAATGTTTGCGCATTACACGACAAAGCAAACATCCTGAAGTCATCATGCTTAGCACCATCTTGAAATTACAACTTATTAGACGTGTAGTAACCAAAAAAAGCACATAGTTTCATTTTCTTAGTTGAATTTCAAAATAATTTATTGCATTTGTCATCCTTTATATTTTCCTTTGTGTGCTTAAAATATTATTCTGAGTTGGGGTCCAAGGACTTAACCTCACTGCCAAAGAGGTTTATGGTACAGAAAAAAGATGGAAAGCCCCTAGATCTCATGGAATGCTCCTCATGCCAATTTTGAGATTTTAAGAAGAAAGAACCACAGTTCTCACACACTAAATCAGTTGTCCCTACCTGCAGCCTCGGGTCATCCAGCCGCCTCTCCAAATACTCCAACAGAACCACCACCTCCTCCCCGCTCTCGGGATGCTGCTCCCGCACCCAGCTCTGCAGCTCCCCAGGCAGGATGGTCAGGAACTGCTCCAGCACCAGCAGCTCCAGGATCTGCTCCTTGCTGTGCATCTCAGGTTGCAGCCATTGTCGGCAGAGCTCCCGGAGCCGACTCAGCGCCTCCCGGGGCCCTGCAGCCTCAGGGTAGCGGAAACCCCGGAAGCACTGGCGGGAGTGCTCGGGCTGGGAGTGCTGGGGGTCCAGTGCGGGGCTGCCAGATAATCGGGCCTCCTCTGCAAAGGCAGAGGCCTCCTCCTTCTCCACCTTTATGACCAGAAGTCCCATCTGGTCCTCTGCAGACTGGGCATCCAGGGCTGTATATTCCCTCAATTCTCTTGCCATCCTGGACCAAGGCAGTAATTGGGGCTCTTCCTAGCTGGAAGCTGTTATTTCTGTAGACAATTCCTGAAAAGGAGGAAAACATTATTAACTAGGAAACTGCAAACAATCCCCTTCCTGCATTCCTAGTAGACTGGATCGAGCGGTAGCTTCAGAGATGCTTTCCCCTCATTCAAGTGCCTCTGCCATTACATCCTCACTACTCCAACCATGAATCCCATGTTTTAGGCTGAAGACTCCTGATTCCTACCCTGTGATGTCTCCTAGACAGTTTTATCTGTAAATCTTGTAAACAAATCCAATTTGGTACCTTCAAAGCCAAGCTGGTTTTCTTTCCTCCTAATCTAGTCCTTCTAAGGAGCTCTGGTAGCATAGTGGTTACAAATTGGGCTGCTAATCTCAAGGTCAGCAGTTCGAAACTACTAGCAGTTCCACGGGAGAAAGATGATGCTTTCTGTTCCCGTGAGGATTTACAGCCTTGGAAACCCTGTGCAGGGTCACTATGGGTTGGAACCGACTTGATGGCACTTAACAACAACAATCTAGTCCCTCTACCAAGTCTTGTGGTTTACTGAATTGAGCATCAGATTGCTGACAGGTCAGTAGTTTAACTCCACCAAGCCACTCCTTAGAAGACAGATGAGGCAATCTTTCTGTAAATATTTACAGCCTCAGAAGCCCTATGGAGCAATTCTACTCAGTCCTCTATGAATCGGAATTGATTTAGGGGCAGTGGGTTTTTGGTTGATCTATTTCCCCAGTATGACATTCTCTAGAAACAGCAGCACCACCCACCCTGTTTGTTCAGAATCATCGTTGATCCCTTCTTTTCATTCAGTTGTTACAAACAACCTAGTCCAATCTCTTGTTACAAATACCCCTGGAATGCCTTTCAGACCTGTGGCCAGTTTTTATTCTCACAGCTATCTCCATGGCTCAGGCCCTCTGTATTGTCACGTGTCTACTAAGTCTTTCCTAAAGAGCTGGCATACCCAAAGTACTGCAAAGGACTCAAGATGTCTGACCACTCCAGTAGTCCTAGTTCTTCTTCATGGTTTCTTTTTCCTTCTTCTCTTCGTTTTAGAGTGAACTGGCTACTTTTCATTGTCAAAAATCTCTCTTTGCCACTCTTGAATCAGTTGTTGTTGTTAGGTCATTGAGTCAGTTCTGACCCATAGCAACCCTGTATAGGGTTTCCAAGGAGCAACTGGTTAAATTGAACTGCCAGCCTTGCCATTCAAACTGACTTTGCAGTCCAGCACATTAACCCATAGCACCGAACCAGGACTCCCTTAAATGAGTAGAGCCAAGGAAAAAGCATCTCCAATGGTTAAACAAAATTTGGTATATAAACACAATGGAATATTGACAAACATTGAAGAATAATGATGACTCTGTGAAACATCTCACAACATGGTTGAACTTGGAGGGTAATGTGCTGAATGAAATTAGTCAATCACAAAAGGACAAGCATTGTATGAGATCAATATAAACATTTTTTAAAAGGTTTTCTTGATAGAAGAAGCAATCTATGATGGTTATGTGGGGAGGTGGGAAGGAGGGAAAATTATTCACGGGCTAGAGGGTAGATACATGCTAACATGGGTTGTTGTTGTTGTGAAGTGCTGTTGAGTCGGTTCCAACCCATAGCGACCCTGTATAGGGTTCCGAGGAGCAGCTAATGAGCTTGAACAGCTGACCCTGCAATTCAACAGTTACAGGGCAGGAAATATACAAAAAGAGGGAGGTTAGCAGAGGAAAGATGAAAGTAGCAGGAGACACAGGGAGGAATGCAATGAATAGAGGTAAATGCTGTTAATTGTTGGTGCATGGAGGGAATTGCAATTATGTAATGAAGCAAAGTACATGATTTGTTGACTTTATAAAACTGATCTGATCTGTAAACCTTCACTCAACTCACAATAAAATGTTTTAAAAAAAAATAATAAAGACATAACGAATACAGACGTGCCATCCCAAAAAGAACTGGTCAACATTCAACCATTTCAGGAGGCAGTATATGATCAAGAATCAACAGTATTGAAGGAAGTTGCACTGAAGACATGGGTGCAAAACAAAGCTCCAGGAAGGGATGGAATACCAAATTAAGATGTTTCAACAAATTAATGCAACACTGGAAGTGATCACTAGTCTATGCAAGAAATTTGGTAGACAGCTATCTGGCCAACACACTGGAAGAGATCTATCTCTGTGCCCATTCCACAGAAAGGTGATCAAACAGAATGAGGAAATTATCGACCAATATCATAATATCACAGAGAAGTAAAATTTTGCTGAACATAACTCAAATATAGTTGCAGTAGTACATTGCCTGGGAACTTCTAGAAATTCAAGCAAGATTCAGCAAGACATGGAACAAAAGATACCATTACTGATGTGTTAGATGGATCCTGGCTGAAAGCAGAGACTAAGACTATGCAAAGCCATTTGACGATGTGGAACATAACAAATTATGCAAAGAATGGGAATTCCAGGATACTTAATTGTGCTCATGCAGCTACATAGACCAAAAGGTAACCAATCGAATAGAAGAAGGCGGTACTACTGTGCGGCTTAAAATCAGGAAAGGTGTGCATCAGGGTTGTATCCTCTCACCAAATGTATTCAGTCTGTATGCTCAACAAATAATATGAGGAGCTGAAATATATGAAGAAGAACAGGGCAACAGGATTAGAGGAAGACTCATTAACAACCCATGATAAGCAGATGACACAACCTTGTTTGCTGAAAGAGAAGAGGATTTGAAACACTTACTGAGCAAGAGCAAAGACTATAGGTTTCAGTTTAGATTGCACCTCAACATAAAACAAACATTCTCACAAATGGACCACGAAACAACATCATGATAAATGGAGAAAAGATTGAACCTGTGAAGGATTTCATTTTACTTGGATCCACAACCAGTGCTTAGGGAAGCAGCAGTCAAGAAATCAAATGATATATTGCATTGGCAAATCTGCTGCAAAAGACCTTTTTAAAGAGCTCAAAAGCAAGTATGTCATGTTGAGGACCAAGATGTACCTGACCCAAGTCATGGTATTTTCAATTGCTTCATATGCATGGGAAACCTGGACAATGAATAAGGAAGACTTAAGAATTTATGTCTTTAAATTATGGTGTTGGTAAAGAATATTGACTATACCATATAATGTCAGGAGGATTAACAAATCTGTGTTGGAAGAAGTAGTCAGAATGTTTCTTAGAAGTAAGAATGATAAGACGTACTTTGGACATGCTATCAGGAGGTACCAGTCTTTGCAGAAGGGCATCGTGCTTGGTAGAGGGTCAATGAAAAGATGGATTGGTACAGTGACTGCAACAAAGAGCTCAAACATATGCATGATGTGAGCATGCTGCAACATAGTGTTTTGTTCTGTGGGACATAGGGTCATTAAGTTAGAAACCATTGGATGGCTCCTAACAATAACACTACATGTTTGGTCATTTAATTCCCACAACAACTTGATGAATTAGAAGACATCATTAGCCCCATTTTACAAAGCAGTAAAATGAGGCACTGAGGGGTTAAGAAGCTGGGCAAAAGTCATACAGTCAATAAGTTGCACAGGCAGAATTCCAACCAGGCTAACCCCAAAGCCTTGCTTCTTTTCAGTACTTCAACAGTAATTTAAAGTCCTTGGTACTGACCTTGTCTCCAGAAGGAGAAATAATTTAACGACTCCCATTTTCAAGGCTTGTTTGTGAATAAGACCCAAGAAACTCAGTCTGCAAATGCTGTGAGGCACAGACTGCTAGAAACAACAGTGGACGCGGGACACCCATAGTGGAATACCTGTCCGGAGTCCAACTCCGAAAGGTCACACAGCGCATGCCCTGGTAGGGGTCTTCCTCCCGAACAGTCCCGGCTGCAAAGCGCTGGTGAAGGAGAGCTTTCTCCCGAAAACACACCTCCCCACCCCGGTACCCAAAAAACAGCACGCGCAGCTAGAGGAGGAGTCCCACACCCACATCAGTGAAAGGGTGCCCAAAAGACATCCCTCACTCACCTACATTCACAATGTCCAAAACTAGCAAAGCACGCGTGGGGCGGGACCGAGAGGCCACTTCCGGGCCTCTCTAGCCACGTCTCCGACTGACTCTCTGTGGTTTACTAGCTCACCGCCCGGTCTCCTCTTTTCTCTTGCTATTAAAGAGGCTTTACAAAAGAGTTTTCCAGGTGTAGCAAAAATATAAAAGCAATGCTCTGGGCTCGATTTATAGTTTGCTACTTTTGCTAAGACAGACGTGAGCAGTAAGAATTTAAATTATATTTGTATGTATATTCACAAAGAAACCATAAAACAATACATTAGAAAATCAATAACAGTAATTATTTGTGAGAGGTAAAGGGTTAGAAATCTGGTGAGTTGGACAAGAGTGAGAGAAAGAGTAGTGAAAGAGGAATCAAGATACCACTTTTGGTTTGACAAGCTGTGCTAAACATTTGTCTATGTGTAGCCACGTTCAGTCCTCACCTTCCTTTGCTCTGCCCATTATCTTGGGGAATTGTATTTCCCAGTTTTCTTTGCCTTCTGGTTTCTGGATAAGTTTGGGTAATGGGAAATACAGTGATAGCCAGCATTCGATAGAAAAATACATAATATTCTTCAAAGATGTTTCCCAATGTTCCTCCCAGTAAAATGCGAAAACTGTTAGTTTAAGAAAGAACTGATAGGGGGTTTTGCTAACACTAGAGATGTGTCCTAACTGATGTATGACAAAGTAATAGTTTATGGTTATATGATAAGGATGTTCCAAGAAGAGAATGACAAAAATGATTCCTGAAAAAAGTTTGGGTACACAGTTTATTTGTACAGAAAGTCTGTAATGAGCAATAGATTAAGTCATGACTCATGTAACTCCCAGCCCTTTTCAGACTTCGGTGCACTTAGTATTTTATCAAATATTACCCCAGCTCTGGTAGCATAGTGGTCACGAGTCAGGCTGCTAATCTTAAGGTCAGCAGTTCAAAACTACCAGTG